CCCACGGCAACGTGATTGTCATCGGTAACGAGCGTTTCCGTACCCCTGAGGTGCTGTTCCAGCCGTCGCTCATCGGTAAGGAAGCTTCGGGTATCCACGACTGCACGTTCCAGACCATCATGAAGTGTGACGTTGATATCCGTAAGGACTTGTACTGCAACATTGTGCTCTCGGGTGGTACCACCATGTACCCGGGCATTGGCGAGCGTATGACCAAGGAGCTTACGGCTCTGGCTCCGTCCACGATGAAGATCAAGGTGGTGGCCCCGCCTGAGCGCAAGTACTCGGTCTGGATCGGTGGCTCCATCCTGTCGTCGCTGTCGACGTTCCAGCAGATGTGGATCTCGAAGGCCGAGTACGACGAGTCTGGACCCTCGATCGTGCACCGCAAGTGCTTCTAAGCTGCCTGTCCACGGGTCAACTGGACTTAGAATCTGGAGGAGAAATGCCGCTGCTCACGCGTGTGGCGTCTTGAGGCTTAAGTGCTTCGATGCACGCGGGTAAGTGGTGGTGCCGTCCATTTACTTTTCAAACCTTTCTTTGCTTTAATTTCTAAAATACTAGGATTGATGTTGTGATCTATCCGAGTGTGCCTACTGTACTCTTGTTCTTGCTGTATTGCCCTGAGAGTGTTTGTCACAAACGTGTCGAAAGATAGCATTGAGCACAGACTAACAGTTGGCAGTAAATTTAAAAATGCAACTGAAGTACAACAGCTTGATGTAAGTAAAACTGCAGCACTGCTAATACTTCTTTGTTTAATAGTTATTCGACAAACAAAACTACAGTAGTATTAGTACTACGCTGTCTGTAGTACTAGTATTTCAAGTGGTAGAAGAGCTACTACAAGTACTAGTATATAAGTAGACCGGTAGTACTTCAGTAATTGCCCGCTGTACATGAATAAAAACTACTACATATAGTAGAGCGTAATTTTAGTATTCATCGGAAAAAATATTTTTTAAAGAATAACAAAATAAATATATTGACGGCTCAACGCCCCCGTAAACTAAAATACTTTCCGGGTAATGTTGATTCTGGAGCTCTTTAATAAACTAAATTTGTGAGA